TCCATTTTTGAAAATTAAAGATGAAACGATGCAAAATGCTTCAATCGTCCAACTTCTCATCAGTAAAATCGAAAGCTAAAGACGAAGACTTAAAGATGGAAAACAAACAATTTTTCAATATTCTATTTTTGTAAAGGCAAAGACTTATAGTGAAAAGATAACTATTTTCCCCTTCCTTCTTGTTTTAAAAGATGCAAATATGATTTTGAAAATCTAATTTCAGTGTTTACGAGAAGAAAACAAAAACAAGGAAAAACGCAAGTGTAATTATCTATATGTTAATGTCACGTAAAATATATCGCAGTCTGCGACACGTGACATCAGACATGACACTTAATTGTATATGCCCTTACTGTGATATCAGAAGGTGGGCGTTTACCTTTGATGTCGTCCATCTGTCCGCTCGAATTTATTTCTGTAGGACACCACGCTACAATCTAACTTTCATACGAGTGCATTTTTTGTTACTTTCAGATCACGTCTTTCTTTTTTATGTATACATTCTTTTCTGACAGGTTGGACTGAAATGAAAATCTGATGTATCTGTTTTAAGAAAACACTAAAAACTATTTAGCTTTCCGTGAAGAAAAGTTTGGGAAATATTTACAATGTATTAATATTGAAATGATCTAATATTGAAATGATATAATATTGAAATGATCTAATATTGAAATGATATAATACTGAAATGGTCTAATATTGAAATGATATAATATTGAAATGACTTAATATTGAAATGATATAATATTGAAATGATCTGATATTGAAATGATATAATATTGAAATGAATTAATATGGAAATGATATAATATTAAATTATATAATGTTGAAATGATATAATATTGAAATGATATAATATTGAAAAGATCTAATATTGAAATAATCTGATATTGAAATGATATAATATTAAAATGATCTAATATTGAAATGATATAATATTAAATTATATAATGTTGAAATGATATAATATTGAAATGATATAATATTGAAAATATCTAATATTGAAATGATATAATATTGAAATGATATAATATTGAAATGATATGATATTGAAAAGATATAATTAGGTTTTCAGACTATGATAGCATTTGCTACAAAATGAGTTTGTTTCATTCAGATAGAAAAAAAGTATTAGAATACTCCACCATTAAATTCTCTACTGTATGTATGTTGAATGAATCTATTCTCATGTCAATTTTTCTTTCTTTTTTTTCTATATATTTTCGGAAATCTTTGGATGTATACACTTTCATAACCTTCTTAAAACAGTAATCCCAACGTACTCAATATAGAAACTTTGAAATCTCTTACGTTTGGACTTGAATATGTCGTAATGTACTTTATAAATATATGTCCTTTCTTAGTTTTGTTTTACGATTTGCTTCTACCTGAACAATAAATTCCACTTAAATTTAAATGCTTCAAATTTATTTTAAAAAATAACTCATCAAAATGTATATTTTCTTGTGACAATTGGTGCAGAAAATAGCGAGTGGTGTGTAAACCGTTTCTAGTAATTCCTAATCTGTACTAATTAAAGAAACAAATTCTTTTGTACTATGTCTAATTAGACGCTTATCCATGCATGAAAACTGAGTCGTCTCTAAATTGATATAATGCATGGTGTTTTGTCTGACAAAAGACAAATTACTAGGCCATGGGTTTAAATGTATGACTGCATCTTCCTCATTCTTATGTATAAAGGTGTTGTTGTAGTAGTAGTTGTTGTTGTTGTTGGCAAGACATACATACATACATACATACATACATACATACATACATACATACATACATACATACATACATACACACATACACACACATGCACATACATACATACATACATACATACATACATACATACATACATACATACATACATACATACATACATACATACATACATACATACACACACATACACACACATACATACATACATACATACATACATACATACATACATACATACATACATACATACATACATACATACATACATACATACACAGACACACACACACACACACACACACACATACATACATACATACATACATACATACATACATACATACATACATACATACATACATACATACATACATACATACATACATACATACATACATACTTTTGTTGAAATGCATGATATTGCCTTAAGAATTAAGTATTGGGATATGTATCTTGCCTTAAGAATTCAATATCTATCGGGATCAAGTTTGAAAGCTTAAGTAAAGACGGTCTTCTAAAACAACAACAACAACAACAACAACAACAACAACAATAATAATAATAATAATAATAATAATAATAATAAGGATGAGGAGGAGGAGGAGGAGAAGAAGGAGGAAGAGGAGGATTATGATGAAGTTGCCCTGCAACATTAGCAGGAGTAATTACGTCTCAGCTAAATAAATTATCTATAGGATAAATCCTACGGTGAGTTAAAAAAATTTCTTCTAAACATTAGAGACTTGAATAATAATATTTCACTTTCCTAACTCCATTTTGTCTGAGATATGAACATAAATAATTTTGCCTGAGTACTGGCCCGAGGATGGTAGTGGGGCGATAGTTGTTCTGGGCTATACTGGCAATGATATATGAATTCTCTCGAGTAGAAGCACAATCTGAGGGTCTGGTGTCAGAGGTTCTTGTTCTTTCCAAAAGAACGATTAGCATAGGTCGAGGGTCGAGATTATCATTTATATAGTCCTCACTTGACTGTCATGCTTTCGCATTATACGTTAGCAGGCATTTTGTACGAGATACAATTTGAACGTTAAGGTGTGCATTTAACCATGTTCATAATTACTTGCGGCCATGAAGGTGTAAGGGAATCAAGGTTCATTGTCTGTTTTGTTTGTTCTTTTGTCGTGGATCTTTGAGGCTTTTTATCATTAAGACAATGGAGAGAGAGAGAGAGAGAGAGAGAGAGAGAGAGAGAGAGAGAGAGAGAGAGAGAGAGAGAGAGAGAGAGAGAGAGAGAGAGAGAGAGAGAGAGAGAGAGAGAGAGAAGTACTACAATTGCTCTAAAACTGTCACTTGTAACATGAGAGCTGGTTATAAAACTGTGGTCTGATCGTGCATATGTTCAGAATTATCGAGTAATATGACCAGTCTTATGAAATGGTGAAGTGTCCTTGAGCTAGACGCTCTGATCAGTTTGCCTCAACGCTAAATAATCTACATGTGTTGATGTGTCGTATAAAGACCAAACCAAACCCAAACCTTTTTAATACACCCCGTCCACTTTAATTTTCATTTCACTTCTCCGACTAACCGGAAACGGAAGATAATCACCACGGCTAGTCATTATCACTCACATGTGGTAGCTAATCAAGTGCCAAATATCAAGTTCTTAAATTTGGGTATTGTTATGGGTTTACAATGTTGCAAAATATTAATTGATACGTGTATTTACAAATATTGACACATGTATTTACAAATATTAACTGACATCTGTGTTTATAGATTTAAACTGACACGTTTTACAGATATTACTTGACACGTGTGTTTACAAATATTAATCGACGCCTATGTTTATAGGTGTATTATCCGGGTAGATGTCGCTTCCTTTTCTGGCATTGTTCCAAACTTTATTAAAAATACCGAATAACATTTATCTGACACATTCTAAGATCTAGCAAACGGCCATAACTGTCAGGTAATAATTGTTTAATTCGCATGTATTATGAACAACTGATAACCGCTATGCCACGTCGGGTATGACATGCTAACTCGGTCGTGAATACTCTGCTTGACCTTTACTCGATATTTCAAGTAGTAAATGTAACTCCATATTGGAAAATCTTCCTTTAAACGTACAAATTCACCTGACATCGTTATTGCTGCTGCTGCTGCTGTTGTTGTAGTTTTTGTTGGGTTTAACGCCATTATTCAGCACAGGAGAGGTTATACGTAGCCGTCAATATAACTGGAGGAGGAAGAACACCGGAAAACTCTGGGAAGAACCACCGAATCACGAGAAGCTACTGGCAAGCTGTCTCACGTTACCACATTAGCCAATCCTGAGACTCAAACATGCGCAGACAGACGTGAGATGACAGTGATCTGGAATGGTGAGCGCTTTAGACCAAAAGGCCACTCCGGGCCCCGACTGACATCGCAGCAAAACGACTGAAAAAATTGTTTAAGCTACGTTAAAATTCCAAATCACACACACACGAGCGCGCGCGCCCGCACAGACGCAGACCTTCTTGGTTCACATAAATATTTTCCAGGAAGATCTGGAGTTCAGGCCTAAGGTTTCATGGGGTAGAGATGAAGAGGTACGCTAATCTTTGTCTAAATCTCATCCTCTGACAATGAGGGCAGTATTATATATATATATATATATATATATATATATATATATATATATATATATATATATATATATATATATATATATATATATATATATATATATATATATATATATATATATATATATATATATATATATCAGCGTTTATCCTTTTGTGTGTCACGTCACGGCTGACAAACAAGGGGTCGAAAATCACGGCGGCCATCCTATTTTTTAAAATACTTTTTATGTATTTTTATGTTACAATTTTCTTTTAAACTCGGACAGGCAACTAACATATTATACAAAATCATTCTATATTATTGGTATGTATTCAGTATCTCTTCCTTGATTCCACAAAAAGTTCACTGTTAATTGAAGATCTCCAAGTGGAATAAACAAAAAGGATTTCAATAACAAAATAACGTAAACAACAACAATAACAGGTTTGTTAGGTTTGGATTTTTAACGTAGCTTTTAATAATTTTGCAGTCATATCGCTACGATGTCTGCAGTGTGGCAGTTCATAGTGATGTCTAGCACTGGGGTATCATGCTACACACATGTAGTATGATGTCCCACTCAGTCACATTATCCTGACACCAGGCCGACCAGTCCTGACACTAACATCTTAATCCTGAGCGCCAAGAGAGGCAGCCATTAGTATCATTTTTGTAAGTCTTTGGTATGACTCGACGGGGATCGAACCCAAGACCTCCTGCATTCGAGGCGGCCGCTCTAACTACTAGGCCACCGGAGTGGTTAGCCTTTCTTTGTGTCTTGTTGGTAAAGGTCAACAAAATCGCACAATGCATGCGAGACTATATCGCAAAAGAGGTTAGCAAAACTTGAGTATAAACTATTTTTCGAAATAGTTCTACCGCAAAGAAAAAAAAAACAAAACAATGGTACGTCCGTTTCTTTATTATATGGAGAGTACGAATCAGAAAAAATAAAACATAAGCTAACATTAAGCTCCTGAGAAGTCTTCTTGTTATTTTAATGTTCATGTTGCTGGAACTCTATTTGTCAATGAGATATTAAGACGAGTTTATTTCCAACACGGATTTGGTCCCACATCTTCATTTTTCAGAGAGATTTGTTGACCACTGGAAAATGGCATTTGCACTGCATGCAATGGCATTAGCATCTTCATTTTTCAGAGAGATTTGTTGACCACTGGACAATGGCATTTGCACTGCATGCAATGGCATTAGCATCTTCGTGTTTCAGAGAGATTTGTTGACCACTGGACAATGGCATTCGCACTGCATGCAAGGGCATTTGCATCTTCATGTTTCAGAGAGATTTGTTGACCACTGGACAATGGCATTCGCACTGCATGCAATGGCATTTGCATCTTCATGTTTCAGAGAGATTTGTTGACCACTTGACAATGGCATTTGCACTGCACATAATGAAATCCAGTACCAAGTGGGACTGCATGTTCTGTTCTGTATAGTGCGTTTATTTTACTGGGATTTTTTCGGGGGTGCTGTTAGGAATATCGCATTAGCTATTATTTTTTCTAGTTGATTTGTGTTTAAGTAATTTCTTTTGAAAAAGTTAAAAACATTTTCCTGTTTTCAAATGAGTCCAGTGAAACGTAATTTCAAATAACAATCTGCACAGATATCTATAACAGCCCTGTGTAACGGTACAACATTTAACGATCGAGCAGAATTATGAAATAAACCTGTAGAGAGCACGTGACCCTTACTGGTAAAGACCCGTTTCTTTCACATTTGCGAAGTGTCAGACTATTTTCTTTTGTATATAATCTAGCATGCTTCGTAAAGTTTGCACTAAAATAACTCTGCATTGTGCATGCGCGATATGTGGCATGTATGGGATAAATGCTCGAGTTATGACGAATAACCCATTAAAATTTAAAATAACTCCACGTCCAACAGCGGTTGTTCTGGTCATTAGGTTAAATTAAATAAAACTAGACTCACGTGTGCTTAAAGAAAGGAAATTTCTGATTGTAAATAACGTCTCAGACAACCATAAGTCAAATTCACCTTCTTATTGCAAGTAAATGCATCTTTTGGTTCCGCTTTAGGTTTTCAAAACTAATATTAAGAACGATACGATTAGGTTTCGCATGCGATTGGGAGATCTGCAAGCGACAGAGGTCACCGAAAGAAGCAAGCATCTTGTATTTTAAAAATGTTGCGGTCCATGTCCACTTACTAACCAGACCGGGCTTTTTATTCTGGTGGTATGTGCGCCCAACTCTGAGACAGGCGAACATGGTTCGATTCCCGACAGCAAATTAAAAGTCTTACATAATTATGATGGTTCCTGTTTGATCCACGCGTGTACATTTTGACCCATATTCTTATTATATCCTAAGTGGTTACAGAGTCCGCTTTGGATGCGGGAAGTCGAGGGTTCGAACCATGACAGTCATACAAACGACTTATAAAAATTAAACGAACAGCCGCTTTGCAAGGCGCTCAGCATGAAGAGGTTAGTGTTATGACTGATTGGACTGGTGTCAGAATAATGACTGGTTGGGACATCATCCTACATGTCTGTGGCATGATGTCCCCGTGCTAGACATCACTATAAACTGCCGCACTGCAGACATCGTAGCGATATGACTGAACAATTGTTGTTGTTGTTGTTGGGCTTAACGCCATTTTCAGCACACGATAGGCTATTCATGGCGGCCAGTATTAATGGTGGAGGAAGAAACCGGGAAATCACCGGAAAGAACCACCGACCCACGAGAAGCTACTGGCAAGCTTTCTCACATATCTACATTAGCCGAATCTTAGACTTGAACACACGCAGACAGAGGTGAGATGGCAGTGATCCGTAACGGACTGCGCTTTAGACCCCTCGGCCACTCGGGGCCCCCTGAACAATTGTTAAAGCTACGTTAAAATTACATACATACATACATACATACATACATACATACATACATACATACATACATACATACATACATACATACATACATACATACATACATACATACACACACACACACACACACACACACACACACACACATACATACATACATACATACATACATACATACATACATACATACATACATACATACATACATACATACATACATACATAATGCATATAGATAGACATACAGATAGACATGTAGATGAAAAAGAGTTAAAACACAGATCGATTCAAAAAAGCAAACATGTTTAAATTTTCAAGTCAGCTTGCCATGAAGCTGAATTGTAACATTTGTATTCCCTGGTCTGTCATGTTTCCTTGATCGTTCTATGAATTTCATTATCATTTTATGGTCTTAAGGTGAGTGCTAACAATAAAACAATGTGTAAATCCCTGTAATATTTTGGGATTAAACTTGTCTCCAAACTGTAAAAGTGAAATACCTGCTGTTCACAACAACTAAAAGCGAAAGGATGTGTAAATACTTATTTTATCCAGTTACTTAACAGTCACCAATCCACTTGAATTCGGCTACTTGGACCGTATATTTGACGAGCCGACTTTCGACTGGAGAACACTTATTTTATCCATTTAATTGTTTGTCGAGCGATAGGTATGTGTCGGTCTCCTGTGATTATCTCGTAAACAACAGAACACAAAGACCGATTGAACGTGCTACCTTTTCCGTAGATCAGTTTCACTTTGAACGAAATCATTCTGGTAGTTAATGGTAAGAGACGAGTGACTTTTATTTACAAATACACCTGTTTAAGAAACCCCACCTATGTACATTATCATCAATTATCACCTCCTCGCCTTATAATCGGCGACATGCAACGAAATAATCTTCAAGAAGCCGATGTTCTAGAGTCGGCTAGCTCGTAAACTGTCCGAGGCTGTTCTAATCTAAAATTCAGCAAATCCGAGATCTGTAAAAATATTACAATTAAAATTTGATGAATAAGTCAAAATATAAATAAGTATTCCCTTCGGGAGAAAGCTAGCTTTAAATGACAAATATTCACATCACATCTGCGCAAGATATTGCAATACTGTCATTGACAATGACGAGGAAATGACATTCGAAAATGAAAGAAAATGGTCTCCTATTTAATATCAGAATGTGGTAGATAAAAGCACAAAAAAGATATATATGTAATGTGACGAAATCAGAGGGTATAAAACTTTCAGAACATAGAGTACTACGAACGCAACACTGTATCTGTATCAACACACACACACACACACACACACTCTCTCTCTCTCTCTCTCTCTCTCTCTCTCTCTCTCTCTCTCTCTCTCTCTCTCTCTCTCTCTCTCTCTCTCTCTCTCTCTTGGATATTTTAGTTCGTCCGAGCCGAATTTTTACTTGCTGTTTGAGCTGGGCAAATTGTATTAACATCAGCGGTATTCAACTTTAGAATGTTCTATCACTGATTTTAATGAATAAATTTATTACTTTCAAATAAATGATGTAAATATAAACCAAATCAAGTTGAATAGTTTTAAGATATAAATTAAATAGGAGAAACGATGTCTCCCACTTCGTACAGATACGCCATTATTCAGTATGTTGGTCAGTGAAAACAATGTTTACCCATGTATAACTTTTTAACTGTAAAATCTTTCTTCATTGAAAGTCAGTGGACCTTAGTATTGATCCGAAAGTAAATGAAAAGAGCATCGATAAAGGGTGTGTTTGCAGAAAAAAGGGAAATAAATAAATAAATGATATCTTAATTATGTGTGTTCCCCAACAGTACACGATGCAAGGTATATGTACTCGTTCTGGTCATTACACCGTGTTTTTGTGCCTTGTTACTTTAAATAAGAAGTAATTATGAATTATAATTAATTTATATGATTGTAGTACCTGAATGCTCTATGTCAACTGCTAATATTTAACAAATTTGCACCGGAACAGATATTCTGAAACAAAGCTTTTAAATGTACAGGCTGCTACAAGTGCAGATATCTCCACAAAATAGAGGTTATGCATTTAAAATATAGCTGCCACTCACTGATATTGCAGGTGAACAATTTGTGTAATATAGTCAACATACGAAGGTTAATGGTCAACCTGGTACAAACCTTAACGCTGATTTCAAATATCAGCGATAATGAGAGTTAGTAGCAATGCATGCATCCAATGGGGCCAGCAATTTTTTTTAAAATTATTTTTTAAATTTTATTTATTTTTATTTTTTGGTTTGCTCGATATGTCCTTCGACGGGCGAAGTTCAATTAAAACGCAAATTTGGGGGAGATGGGCAATCAAGAGCCACAGCTGTTCTAAATGATTAAATGAGACGCTGGAAATCCAAACTCGATTTTGGTCTCATAAATATAAAGGCGCATAACTCCTGCTAAAATTCAATATTTTCTAGTAACTTTGTACTGAGGAAAGCAAAGTGAAGAGGACAGGAATCAAGATTCCATACCTCTTGTCGAAGACAATGTGGAGATTTCGAATTCAAATCAGTCAAGGTATTATCAATATAACGAAGCATGTACAGGCAGCAGAAAGTGTTGAATAGTTACTGAGATATGTTGCCTATAATAATATGATGTGTAGTCGAGATATATTATTGGTGAAAAAAGAGCAAATAATTAGGTGAAAATTGAGCTTGAAAATACATATGTCTTTAAAATGTAACTCATCTGGTAATTTGCTGTTAAAATGCATTTAGTTATGCAGCAAGGGTTGGAGACCTATGCTGGTTACAGGTAATATCTCACATCTCACATGAAGATCTGCCCTTAATTGGGAGAGGTCATAACGTTATCACAAATGTATCTGACAAGACACATCAAAGGCACATCTACGTCTA